ACCAACCCAGCGAGGTGGGCACCCGGCACGACAGGGCGAGAGACCGCCATCACAGCACACGAGTAGACCGGGACCTGCCCAGAGGGGAAGCACCACACCCCGCCAGCGAAGGCAACCCACATCAGCCCTGCCAGGGAGACCTCCACTCCAGGCGAGTAGACCGGGGACCATCGGAGATGGGCACACTGCAGCCCATGGGCAAGGGTGGCACACGACTCCCCGGCGAGAGGGACCCCCGTCCAGCACAGAAGACAACCCGGCAACAACAACAACCCAGCCCAGATGACTCCAGCCACCAACCTGCGGTAGACCAGGGACTAGGGCGAAGGGAAAGCCGACAACAACCCGGCCAGGGAGGCCTGCGCCACCCCGACAGGGGAGACCGCCACCAACCCGCGGAGGTAGCCCCGCAACGACAGCCCGACCAGGGCGACCACTACCGACCTGACGGGGGAGGCCAACACCAGCCCGGCCAAGGAGACCTGCGCCACCCCTGCGAGGTCGGACACCACAACCCGAACCAACACCATCCACAGCTGGCAGACCGGACCCGAGGGCACCGATCCGAACCACCCACCAGGCAACAACGAGCCGAACTGCGACCGAACCGCAGCGCCCGGGAGACCGGGGAAGAGCAAGTGACAGCCGGTGACTTACCAGGACTCAGACGCTCTTCCCGGGTCGGAACCGAGCAGCATCAACGAGGCGAGAGATCCACAGGCCAGGAGGAAGACCACCAGAACCAGCCATCCAAGGTCTGCGGTCCGGCCGGAGGCGCTGAGGGTGACCCCGCACACTCGCCAGCCGAACCGAGCCCGGTTCCGGGGAAGGAACCAGAAGACGGAGGAGCCCCGTCCGTCCAGGAAGAAGTGAGACTGCGCAGGTCAACTAGGGCGCTGAGGCGTCCTACGTACCTGCGGGACTACGTGACGTTTATAAATGAACTTTGAAATTTTTTTCGGACTAAGGGGGAGGAGTGTTATGTCCTTATAAGGACATCCGCCCGGATTGGCTGCCAGCCATCGGGCGGGAAAGTTTGAATCGCTGTCAGGGGCGGTGCGACTGCTGGAGCGAATATAAGGAGAGCTCCGGCAGCGCACAGCCAGTTTTGCTACTGTTTCTTGTTCTCAATAAAGTTACTAATGTAACGAGCTGGTCGCGTCTTCCATTCCTGCGCCGATCTAACACTATCTATCTATCTATCTATCTATCTCTTTCTTTCTATATCTCTTTCTTTCTCTTTCTTTCATATTTCTTTCATCTCTCTCTCTCTCTCTCTCTCTCTCTCTCTCTCTGTGTGTGTGTGTGTGTGTGTGTGTGTGTGTGTGTGTGTGTGTCTGTTTGTTTGTTCTGGCTCCTGCTACTAAGGGGACAGAACAAAGGGCTCCTTTGGCAAGGGCTGGTGGGTTCAGTATTGATCTGGGCTATGCTTCTCCCTGCAATTTGAGCTGTGCCTTCAGTGCCTGCATTGCAATAGGATGCCATGTCCATTGGGAGAGAGTTGTGTCATGTGTACAACAGTTAGGTTGCTACAGATTCCGCCGAGAGCCTGTGCTCAGCCACCGGGTGACTGTCTCCCCAGCAAAGGGAATCCCCTGCCTTTTGCCTATATATGGTCTGCAAGCAACTAACTCTATGACTATCATGGAGTGTTTGCGATCCTTCATTCAGCATTGTTTAAAGAGGGTGTTTGGCATTGGGCATTGTGTGAGATTCTTGTTAAAAAACCTGGCACCAGGCATTGTTTGACAGAGTTCGACATACCAAAGTCTTTACAAGAAGCACAGGGGTGGGACGATGGAGAGAAGCAGAAAAGGGATGGTGTGTGTGTTGTATGTCTGCTGCTTGCGTCGTCCCATTTGCTCGGGGAGACTCTGCAACATTTAAAAGGATAGGCGTCTTATTATGTAATCAGAAGATACTGTGCCGAGCTGCAGCTTCAAATAACAGGGCAATTAAGCCGAAATGGACATGATAATTTCCTCCCTGTTAACCCCTGTCTTTATATCCTGCTCCCGTTTCAATTGCTTTTGTGGTGAGCATTTTTCCACTACAAAGCCCTAAGGGGAAACTTGCTTTTTAGAAAACATTTGTATGCTCTTAGCAGAAGAGGCATAAAAACCACCACCACAATAACAATAATAGGAACAATAATCCCAGGATTGTATGTTCTGAGAATTCCAGGGGTTCTTCAGTCCAACTAAAATGGGAATGCCAGATGGTGGACTTCAGGAGATGTTGGGCAGCAAGTCTTGATTGTTGGATGATGTGTATTCAACTAAAATTTCTGGTCAATATTTCCAAGGAAAGGGCCCCATGATAAACATTGCACTCTTTATTTTAGTATTCTGCACCCAAGTTTAACCTGGTTATGAAGTGAGCCAGAGGTGAGCTGAAGTGTTGTTCAGCCGGTTCGCACTGGTTTGCACGAACTGTTGGTAGAAATTTGGCCAAGGTTGCTGAAACAATAGCGATGGCTGGCTGGCCACGCCCCTGAACAAGTCCCCCGGTTGCTGCTCACTTGCCCCACCTGCCATGTTCATTGCTGCCATGTTCTTCACACACACGCATCCCATTGCCTTGCAGGTGCAATGGGATGCGCATGCACGAAGAACATGGGGGTGACAGCAGCAACTTTTTCCAGGACCTCCGATACCTTTTGGCAGTCTGCGGTCAGCAGCTGCCTCTTTGCCAGCCGCTTTCCATCAGCATTGGCTGGCTGGGGGCCGCCGAAAACTCCGGTCAGCTTGCTTTCCAGACTCTGGACTGTGCGGAAGGTAAGCAGCCCAAATAAAGAGGTGTGGTGGTGGAGGAAGTGGGGCTAGGGTCGGGGCCACTAAAGGAGAGGAAACAGGGGCGACCAGCGAAGGGAGGGCAGGGGTAGATAGGTGGAAATTCCAAAAAATTTCCTACCTTTTCCTGCGGGCGTGGATAGATGGGGGAGGTCATGTGACTGAGTGGGCATGGGCGTGAGTGATGTCAAGTTGACCACGCCCACTCAGTCACATGCCCCCCTCCCCCCACCTAGCCACATCCACCAAACCGGTAGCAAAAATTTTTGAAACCTACCACTGAAGTGAGCCATTTTTCTTCATTTGCAGAATACATTGAATCATTATCTAAGGAAGCCAACTGAATTTTCATAACAGAATAACCAAGCTTAGCATGTTGGGCAAATGCAGGCACTGCAACAGATACCTTAACTGTATTGTGTGAACACAGCCACTGAGTCACACTGTTTTGCTTTTTTTTAACTTGGCACAGATCTGCTTCTGGGGAAAACCAATTACGGTGTCTGTTATTGTTCCTTACTTGTTTGCTTCTGTTCATTCAAACTAGTAGAAAACAATGGTAGACAGAGCCAACTAATTATAATTCTGCATCCATCACAAATAATATTTCATATTTAGAATATCTCCATATGAATTGCTTTTAAATAAAGAATACGGAACAGAATACAGAATAACAGGGTTGGAAGGGACTTTGGAGGTCTTACACAGGAAAGACTGGGTGGCAGAAGATCATTGAGCCTGATAGGACAGTGCTTCAATTTCTCAGGTCAACCAGTCTCCAGATTTTCCAAGATGCTGCTCAGGACTGCAGTTGGCCCCTGCCTCTCTCCTAAACATGTCAGCATTATGCTCCCTCTTTTCTACAGAACCCTTATGTCTCCCCACCTAAAGATCCATTTAATCTTCCCAGTGGTGGAATTCAATTTTTTTTTTCTACCAGTTCTGTGGGCGTGGCTTGGTGGGCATGGTATGGCTTGGTGGGCATGGCAGGGGAAGGATACTGCAAAATCCCCATTCCCTCCTCACCCCTGGGGGAAGGATATTGCAAAATCTCCATTCCCACCCCACTCTGGGGCCAGCTAGAGGTGGTATCTGCCAGTTCTCCGAACTACTCAAAATTTCCACTACTGGTTCTCCAGAACCTGTCAGAACCTGCTGGATTTCACCCCTGAATCTTCCCACTATTTTGCACATGTGCAAATGTACCTGTCAGCTCTCCAACCCTCATCTTTGCAAACATGTGCTGATCTTCCCATCAGTCCACCCATCCTTTATCTTCCTGCCACCACCAGCTCATCTTCCTAGGTCACTTCCTCTCTCCCATTAACCTGCCCAGCCGTACCTATCTTCCCAGTTTTTCTTAATGCTAATTTTTTTCTAAAATTTTGTATTTTACATTCTTCACAGTCCCTTGAGGGATGTTTGCTCACCATTTTGGGAACCCTTGCTCTGGGAACTCCCAAAGAAAGGTCAGTTTCTCCCTACTCCCCATTCTCCTAGTTTCAACATGTATTTGAATAACAAGTTGAGAAACTTTTTTTACAATATCATCTGCATCTGCTTAGGAATGCAGAAATCTGCTTTATGGTGGTTTGGACAGATGAAAATCAAGTTGAATCAGTGGTGGGTTGCTACCAGTTCACACCGGATCGGGCGAAACGGTAGAGGTTCCGCCCACCCGCCTGGATGCTTCTGCGCAAGCGTGCACAAGCAAGTGCACGCACACGAGCGAACCGGTAGCGACAGGATTTGGAACCCACCCCTGAGTTGAATCCTATTTAGCAGGAGTTCCTAAGCTTCAGATAAGGCATCTTTGAAAGCTGTACACTGTGATGTCCATGTTCTCTTGGGATAAGACGTGATACTAATGCAATTTTGCTCTGTCTTCAGAAAATGATTTTTGATCTTTCTAAATCCCATGGACCATCTCGGTCTTCGGGTTATAGAAAATGCAATTAGATTAATAGGGCCCAGGATAGAGAACTTCAGAGCAACATCTCAAGAGTAATAGATCATTTCACATTATGTAGCACTCGCTTGTAAATCTTTCGACTGCAGAATTCTGCAGCACGCTGCCCACTTCGAATCTACATTGCTGATGAACTCCAGCAATCAGTGATGTTCTTTGTGGCACACTAGAAAGAATATATTATTTGGGCAAAGAACCTCCATGGCACTCAGATTTACTGTCTGTTTCTTCTCTTTCAGGCAGCTCAGCATAATGGGCATAAGGGCAACGTCTTCTCCTGAGAGATGCAACTATAAAGGGTTCAACATCTCAGTTTGATGTATTTCAAACCAGAGACCTAATTTCCTGTGAAGGGGTAGCCACTAGATCAAATCAAAAAAGTTCAGTCTATCACTCCATCACTCTCCTCAAGATCCTAAGTAGTGACGGCAGAGGATATTTTTTGAATGCAAATGCACCTAATCTGCATTTTCAAACCAATGCAAACTGAAACTTTGTTATCCATCAACATTTCTAATTCTCTGGATCTTGCAATGCAACTTGCTAATGGCTTAAAAAAACCACAATATTAGCAAAAATTGACTGCAGCTCGAATTCTTCATGTGCAGAAATGGAAAGTTATGTTAATCCACACAATGGAAGAATGGATGGAAAAAGTGATGGAAGTCAATGCTTTTTTTCTTCCCTTCCCCTTTTTCCCACACCTCTCTTTCCCTTTTCTTTTCTTTCCACATTTCCCCACTATCTTTCTTTTCATTTGTACTTTATATACATTGATAATCTCAATAAAAGTTACATTTGAAAGAAAGAAAAAAGTTGACAAACTTGCTTATAGTCCTGAAAGTAATTTGAGAACATGCATCATTTAAGAAAGAATGGAGGAGGACTTGATAACATAGTATAGTTTGTGTCCTATTAAATAAATTATTGTGACTAGCTATGCTCACAATGGTTTTGCTTTTGAGATGGACAACCATTTTGTGAGAGTAGGAAGCAGATGTTCTCTAGATAACAAAAAGTTTCAGGGTCTTTGGCTCATGCAATGATGCTTTTACTACAAGAGACTTTTGAAACTCTTGTTAAGACACCTTTGCTCTTAGTCACAACTATTTGACCACTAATGTAGTCAGCAGATTTTCAACAGGAGTGGTCTTACTCAGGGATCTCAAGAATTAAAGCTGGCACCTTTAGCATGTAACCACTGGGCTACTAACATCTGTAGAAAATTTTGATAGTATTGAAGGATTAGATGGTTTCCCTATATATCAGGGGTGAAATCCAGCAGGTTTTGACAGGTTTTGAAGCAGAAATTTTGAGTAGTTCGGAGAACCGGCAAATAGCACCTCTGGCTGGCCCCAGAGTGGGGTGGGAATGGAGATTTTGCACTATCCTTCCCCTGGAGTGGGGTGAGAATGGAGATTTTGCAGTGTCCTTCCCCTGCCACGCCCACCACACCTGCCATACCATGCCCACCAAGCCATGCCCACAGAACCGGTAGTAAAAAAAATTGGATTTCACCCACTGCCATATATGCACTGAGGAATGGAACTATCTCTACCCATTGTCATTATACTTCATTCTTTTAAAAAAGAACCTGAATTTCAAAACTGCCTGGAGAAAAAACCACATCTAAAGCAGGGGTGAAATCCAGCAGGTTCTGACAGGTTCTGGAGAACCAGTAGTGGAAATTTTGACTAGTTTGGAGAACTGGCAAATACCACCTCTGGCTGGTCCCAGAGTGGGGTGGGAATGGACATTTTGCAATATCCTTCCTCCAGAAGTGGGGAGGGAATGGGGATTTTGCAGTATCCTTCCCCTGGAGGGGGGAGGGAATGGAGATTTTGCAGTATCCTTCCCTGGCCACGCCCAACAAGCCACACCCACCAAGCCACACCATACCCACCACAGAACAGTAGTAAAAAAAATTGAATTTCACCACTGAACTAAAATGGTTGTTTGAGTATAGGCTACATTTCTTTGAAAACAAGATCTCATACATTAATTGACTTGCTAGAAATTCCAAAGTTTTCTAATATATCTACAGCTCAAAGGCATTAAAATAAAATACTCAAAAACCACTCTCAAATTTTAAGCTATGGTCAGATTCAAAAACCATGTATTAGATTTAACCCAGAACTCAGTTCCAGAAACTAATCCCAGGATAATGGTGCATATTAATTATAAAGCAGCTTGGTGCTAAAAATACATACTTGCTGAAGAAAGGACTTTGATTTGCTAATTACTATTGCTTGGGAAACATACAGGGTAATTTATTATTATACATATGGCAGAAAAATCCTCAGCACCTGTTATTTTATCAATGCAAGACCAGGAGAATTTCTAACACATTGCAGAGTTCTGTGATGCTATTAGTAGCAAATAGAAGATGTTACGTTGTGCATCAAACACTACAAAAGATGCTCTTGGCTCCAACCTCAGTGTACAAGACAGATTAACTAAATGAGGAATGCCATCCAAATTAGGAAAGCAAGAAGGTGGATATTTGCAAATGGCACTGGAATTTGATGAGATAAGAAAGGACCTGAAGAAATAAATGGTGCCTAAGGTTGAGAATTATATTCCAACCTTCATACGTAGGTGTTCTACAGATATGCTGGACTTCAACTTCAGAGTATGAGGCTAGTTGAGAGGTCTCAGGGTTGAAGTCCAACATCTCTGATGGCTGTTGGTTGTAGCCAGGGGTGAAATCCAGCAGGTACTGACAGGTTCTGGAGAACCAGTAGCAGAAATTTTGAGCAGTTCGGAGAACTGGTAGCGGAAATTTTATGTAGTTCGGAGAACTGGCAAATACCACCTCTGGCTGGCCCCAGAGTGGAGTGGGAATGGAGATTTTGCAATATCCTTCCCCCAGGAGTGGGGCGGGAATGGAGATTTTGCAGTATCCTTCCTCTGCCACGCCCACCAAGCAACACCCACCAAGCAATACCACACCCACCAAGCCATGCTCACAGAACCGGTAGTAAAAAAATTGGATTTCACCCCTGGTTGTAGCTATAAATGATAGACTCCATTGCCAGCCTGAAGCCAAGTTGATTCAGATTTTAATCAAATCTGGCTATATGGAGATGGGGAAGGACAGCCAGTTTGGTCTAGTGGTTAAGACTCCGGGCTAAAAACCAGGAGACTGTGAGTTCTAGTCTAGCCTTAGGCATGAAAAATCGGCTGGTGACTTTGGGCCAGTCACAGGGTTGTTGTTGATGGAAAATAAGGAGGAATGAGCATTAGATAATAATGTTCCCCACCTTGAGTTATTTATATAAAAATAATAAAGGTGGGATAAAAAAATATTTAACAGATCTATAACACTCACTGGAATAATAATGTTTTGTAGCTGTCTGAATTCTCCTTAGAACCTTAAGAGGTTGGTAAGAATTGCTACAGACATTTTATTTTCCTATGACTAACAACTAGATAGAATCATGGAAAGATCTAATTTTTTTCCTCTTGGAACAATGTGCTGGGTACAGCGTTGATCTCAAATATAATCCGCTTTTTATTCTGCCTTTCTATGGCTTTGAGCCTCATTTTCTGCTCAGCCAAGTTTCAAACACATTGGATTAATCTGAGCCTGACTTCTGATGACTTCATACACATGTCCCTATTGTTTTATTGTCAGTTACATCAATATGTGTGCCCGTGTTTTTTCCCAGGAAGCTTTTTTTTTCCTCCCAACTTTCCAGTCTCCTATATTCTCTGGAGCAGAGGTCCCCAACCTTTCGGACCTCAGGGACCACTAAATTCATAATTTTAAATCCCGCAGACCACTAATATGATCTGCCTAATGACCGGCTGGGTGGGCGTGGCTAAGTGGTCATGTGACTGGGTAGGCATGGCCAACTCAATGTCACTCGCTTCGAGGGGTGCCTCACCGGCCTCAACTTGCCCCTCCCCTACCAGCCACTCCTCTACTGCCCACCCGGGCTCCTTAGGGCCCAACAGGAAGCAGTTGTTGGAGCTAAGCAGCCACCATGAGAAAAAGTTGGCAAAACAACTGGCTCAGTTCAAATTAGATCTGGCCAAGAAGGAGGCTCAGCAGAAGCACCTCACTGAGGACTACGAGTATAGGCTTTCCAAGCAGAGGGAAGACCTGCAGGAGTGCAAGGCCAGGTACCGGCGCCTGGAGGCTCAGTGGGCTGAGATGGTCAGCCAGTTCCAGGCCATGATGCGGTACCAGTGGAACAAGGCCTTCTGGCTCTTCACCACCAGCAGCACTTCCCTCCAGCCTTCGCTGAAAGCCCTGCACAAGGAGGCTGAAGCTGACCCCATGTCGGAATTTCTGTCCCCCTCCAACCGACACAAAAAGACCCCAAAGGGGGAGACTTTCTGCAGCAACACAAATGTTCATTGCATGTATTTGTCCTAGGGGCCATAGTTTGAGGACCCCTGATTTAGTGCAATATAAAAAATGCAAATAATTTTTTTGAGGACCATCAAAATTTTCTCACAGACCATCAGTGGTCCACGGACCACCAGTTGGTGACCGCTGCTCTGGAGAGCTTCCATCCAAATACCCATTGAATCCAACTACTAAACAGATCTAACCCAGTTAAGCATTTGACAATCAACTCAGCCTAGGTCATCTACTGATACTGTATATGAATTATATGGTATACTGCAAGTTATTTACTCTCAATATCTGGAATATGCTAATAATTGACTTGCCTTACAGCAGGGGTGTCAAACTCAATTTCATTGAAGGCCACATCAGGGTTGTGTTTGTCCTCGGGGGCTGGGGTGGGCATGGCCAGGGTGGGCGTGGCCAGCTCGATGTCACTCATTTCGGGGGCGCCTGTGGCGGCCCGAGCGCTATGCCAATGAAACGGGCTCCCCAGCTCTGTTTTCAGCTGCCATGGCCTCCTGCAACCCACTGCCAGCGAAAATGGAGCTCGGGAGGACTGCCCTCCCATTTTTACTGGCAGAGGGTTGCAGGAAGCTGTGGGAACTGAAAACGGAGCTTGGGAGCCCATTTTCGCTGGCAGAAGCACCGTGGGCCAGTCCTTCACTGTTTCTAGGGCGGCCCCGTGCGCTAGATCTAAGTACCCCACAGGCCGGATCCGGCCCCTGAGTTTTAACACCCCTGCCTTACAGAGTTGTAGCAAAGATTATTGTTAATATTTATGAAGAATCAGGACAGGATGGCGGCTTACCCAATGCTTTTAAAAAAGGACAAATGATGCTATTAATGCACGTAACATTCACATCTGCTAATTTCTATTAGGCATGTTTAGAAATAAATTGCTATAATTATAACAGAAAGACATCGTAATGGGCAAGTTGGTGATTATTTGCTCCCACTGCTGTTGATGGGCACTTTCAGACTTTCTGGATGTTGGCTATTTACCCAAGCTTTGAAGTATGGTGGATGGGGCTCCCCTGTTTGTGATGTTTTTGTCTGCTTCATTGTCAGGCTGCCATCCTGTAATTATTTTATAGCTATATTTTGTACTAGTTCTGTGTTTTTATTTTTTTTGAAGAGGGATGTTTTTATGTTCTGGTATGGTTTTGAGCCTCCCAGATTTCTTTGGAGTTGAACGGCATCCAGATTGAATCAAATAAAAAAAGTTTCTTATCTTTAAACGTCTATGGAGATTCTCAGTCATCCAGGTCATGGTTGTCCCAAAGGGGCTTTTTTTCAAGAGGCAACTGGATTTTTCTTTGAAGAAGTTTTGCTTCTCATCCAAGTATCTCATCCAAGAATCTCATCTCATTCAGAGCTGAAGAAGCTTCTTGGATGAGAAGCAAAATCAGGGGTGGACTGCTGGGGATTCGCAGGGGTTCGGGAGAACCTCTAGCT